TGACCCCCCTGGCTGCAGATCCACAGCTCTGTCTGGAGGAAGAGAACCTCAGATGCCCGAGGGCTTCACCTACCTCTGTGACAAAGTCAGTGATCTTAATTTATTCCACAATGATGGACCCAATAATGGATCTTCCAGGGCCTCATTAATGATGGAACTTGTGTGTGACAAGCAGCAGAGGGAGCCTGGGAGGTCCTGCAGGTTCCAGGCCGTGTAAAGCTCAGGGCAAGCTGAGGAAACCAGGGCCTGGTGTTCAGCAGAGCCAGACTGGGCTTCCACACAGCCAAAACCCGACCAAAACCAAATATTAACCCACTAAGAACTGTGTCTGGGTTCATATATATATATATATATATATATATATATATATATATATATATATATGTAAAATAATAGATTTATTTAGGTTGGCAAAGATCATCGAGTCCAACCATTCCCCCAGCACAGCCAAGGCCACCACTAACCCACATCCCCAGGTGCCACATGCACACAGTTTTTGAACATTTCCAACTATGGTGAGCCCACCACTTCCCTGAGCAGCCCCTTCTAATTCCTGACAACTCTGACAACTCTTTCAATGAATATTTTTTCCCCAATATCAAACCTGATCCTCCCCTGGCCCAGCCTGAGGCAGTTCCCTCTGCTCCTGTCCCTGTTCCCTGGGATAAGATCCCAAATCCCCCCCCAGCTGTCCCCTCCTGTCAGGAGCTGTGCAGGGCCACAAGGGCCCCCTGAGCCTCCTTTTCTCCAGGCTGAGCCCCTTCCCAGCTCCCTCAGCCCCTCCAGACCCTTCCCAACTCCACTCCCTCGTCTGGACATGCTCCAGCTCCTCAGTGTCTGCTTTGGAACAAAGGAATCAATTTTATGTATTTATACATAAATACACATACACAGACATATATATATATAAATTCAGGCACTGGGATCTGCAGAGATCTTAAAAAACTCATCCCATCCCATCCAAAGGTCATGTGTGACATTCATGCAACATTCCAGCTAAATAAATGCAACACCTTCTTGCTGGGGTGTAGATTTCTGCTTGTCAGATTTTTGGTCATTTCTCTGTATCCTGGAAATTTTTGTGCAGGCACACCTAGAGTACACATAATTAAAAACAGTCACAGTTATAGAAAAATAGCCAAATAGGTTATGAGAGATTAAGATTTAAAAGTGGATTTTTGTTTTCATTTATCCTCCTGCTAGCATCCAAGTCTATGGTTCACTGAGGAAACAGAACCATAAAGATAATTTAATAAGACCTCCTCAAAATGCAGGCCAAAGAAGCTTTTTTTAAAAATAATTTCTGCATGAAATATTTCAGGAAAAGAAAATAATAGATCAAACATATCCTTCTAGCAGAGTCATTACCTCTGAATATTCTAGGAGGCTTTGGAAACCCTACTTTATCTCTCTTCCTTGTGTTTAATTTTTAGTGAGCAGGGATGAAGCAGGTAAGTATAAACATTTCACATTCTGCAGTGATTCCACTCTTTTCAAGCCCATTATTATTCAGGACTTACCAAACAACACTGGAACTTTGAAATTTTGCCCAAAGGGGAAAGATAAGATTGGGTACCAACTACTCACCTATGACACCTCACCTAACATTATCAAAAGGAGGAAACATTCCTCAAGTAATTAAATATTTATTCCTTTAAAGGTATAACTAGAGAACGAAAATACATTTCTACCTCCCACAGCTTTTATCAAGCTGTCAAGTTCTCCATAACTTGGTGTTAACTGAGTCATAAAGGGAAAAATATCTAAAGCAGGAGAAATGTGTGAACCCTTGCTTGAGGATGCACTTGGTCATTCAGTGAAAAACAGGAAAAAATCTTGGTTATTCCTGATTTCTGCAGGTGCAGCTCAGCAGCAAATCGGGGTGTGCTCAAATTCCAAAGAGCTGCCTGAATTCCTGCTAGGATGATGTGGGATAATGTTCCTGCCCTTGGACACAGCTTCAGACCTTACCTTTCCCTTCTGGGCAAGCTCCTGATGAAGTTTCAACCAAAAAACTTTATCCTTTTTGTCTCTTCCAGCTTCCTTCCTTCTCCACACACATATTCATCATCTGACAAATTAAATGAACAGCCCAGTCTGGTCTGAGGAGTTGTTTATAAAAACAACTGAGTGTATTTATAAAATGAGTGAAAGGAGATACCTTGACTTATTTCTATTATAAGCCTTTAACTCACATTCATACCAGAGGGTTCATTTAAAAAGAAAACCCAAACCCACTAAATTTTTGCTTGAAAATCTGACTGAAATCTACATTTTTACATAGAGAAATGTCATTTTAAGTCTATAAATATCCATCCTCTGTATTTAAATTGAGTTTCAGAGAGACCCAGGAACCTTGCTTTGACCAGCTGTCTTTGAGATACAGAACAAAGCACCAGATATAAAAATATCCACATTGTATTTTTGTTTTCATGGGACAGTTTCCTTCTGGGTTTCCACACCTTGGTCCACCTCTTTCTAAGGTGTAAAAGAACTGAACTATAGATCAGCATTTCAGACTCTGAGGGCAGTATAGCAGGAAATTTCTGGATCAAAGTGAATCTCTGCAGATGTTTTATCCCCCACTCCCTTATTTTCTAAGCATTTCATTTGTTCAGAATTTCACAATTTACTTTTTTTTTTTTTAATATTGAATTTGCTGTTTGACAGTTCACCTTGTAACACTGGATTTCTGATTTCTAAGGGCCAGTGGTTACTTTTTGCTTATTTAGATTTAGTGCTAATTTTTGCTTATTTAGATTCATAGAATCATGGAATGGTTTGGTTTGGAAAAGACCTTAAAGAACATATAGTTCAAAACTGTTGGTGCCTTACCTGATTTAGTCTCTCCTTGCATGACAGCAATTCCAGATTTTGTAATGCTTCTCATGTTTCCATGTACTTTTCCATCTCTTGTTTCAGATGAGTGGATGAAAATTGCATGAACAATTCAAGAACAGGCATCCAATATTTTCCTCTGTCAAACCTGTCCCCATCCTGTTGGCTTTACTACATGAGCTGGGCACTGAACTGGCACATCCTGGTTAGGTCCTGGCCCATTTTTTCATGTGCATTACTTTATCATTTATCAACACTATCATTGTGTAACCATGAAGGTATTTAGAGAATAAATGGACAAAAGGCAAACAATCCATCCCAAAGTAGGACTCTAATGGCCATGGACTAATTTGCCCAAAATCACTCTGGATTTTTCCTTCACTGACTGATTTTCCTGGAGCATTGTGGAGAGTTTGGTTCAAGCATGGCTTAAAGAAAAAGGCCATGAAGGCATACAGTTGAGAGAAAAGTAAAAAGGTAGTTGTAAAGCAGTTCCCAGGCTTGATTTTATAAACAATTAGGCTCTCTCAAGCATCACTTTATAAACAATAAGGTTCTCAGACAGTCTTCCCATAACAAGCAAAAACTCTGTCCCTGGGCTCTCTGGGAAAAGATAGCTCCCTGGGAACAGATATGGAGGTTTTGGGAACTTTTCATATCACAGTGGGAACGCTGATTCTGTTTTCAATAAACAAATCATAGGCATTGTAGAACAAAAGGAGGGGTTAGAGTTTTCTCTGTTAACCTATCGTGAGCTTGGATTTTGCAATATGCATGAAGTTAATTAACACTGTTATATAAAGTGGCTGATTGATCAATAAATCGGAGTTCGATGCATCAATCGGATGGTCGTCTCCCTTCACTTCAATAGAGCATTTCAGACCCAGTGGCTTTTCTGAGTGAGTGGTCCCAGGCTCCTTTCACTGTGATCTTTATCCATGGAGCCCCCAGAACTGCAGAGTCCACATGTTCACAGATTCCATTAGACTCCATGCTTTCCTCTAAACTTTTCCAAATTTGAGATGCCTTTCAGAGCAACAGCATCATTTTAAAGCAACCATTGAGTTAATCCATCAGAATTTCAGAGGAAACACTTCTGAAGAAGAGCTATTATTTTCCTTCATGGTAAATAGCCTATTTTCCTTTTTCATGCAGCATGCCAGGACATTTTTACTTGTCTGTTACTTGCTATTTTTGTCTTGCAACTCTGTATCTGCCTTTTGTCTCTGTAGCCTCATTTGTAAAGATCCCAATTACTTTTAGGGGGTTAATTGTTACCACAAGCAATGTCAGCCTATGTCAGACTCCAGGGCTTTGTAGGGAAAGCTCTGCAAGGACTTCCCCACATCTCAAATATTTTGGTCATGCCTACACTCTCCAGCTCTGATTGGGGAGCTGCTTTTATTACACTGTACAACTAAAGAAAGCAAAAATAGTAATTTCCTAAAAGACCTCTGAGAGTACATTTCTTTACATAGACTGTGTAGGAGGGCAATAGAACAAAATTTGGTGCTTTGCTATTCTGAGGAATAATCAGCGTATCTGAGACAACATCCAAACATCTCTCAAAAACTCTGCAAGGGCTACACTTGTCACTATTGCTGGAACTCAGTGTTTATCACAGTGTTTCAAATCCCCTGTGAGGCCACAAATGTTCCCTTAACTTGATTATCTAATTACAAGGAAAATTAATAGATGCTCATTGTTTTCTTTGATATATATACACACAGATTTTTTTATAATGGTAATAAAGGCTCTGTAATTAAATAAATGTTGGTGTCAAAAGGGAATAAAAGTAGATATTTGTGCAGTGGACTTTGCACAGGTCTGTAAAGCATGGCAAAATAGGTGATTCCAAGGTTGTGAAGTGCCAAACTTACAGGTGAATAAATTGAATTCTCTTTATGATTGTTCTGAGGTGTTGCATTTAAACAAATAATTTCATCCCACATGACACATATGTCTCATATGTATTGAGGGTTAAATCTGTCTCAGATTTAAACTCTGGTTTTGACTCACTGACCATGTTTGGATTATTCTGGTTTTAAAAAATGAGAAAATTCACAAAAATTAAGGAAGCACAAAGCAGAATTACTAACTCTATACATCAACTATGATTCAGGAGATACCTGTGCATTAAATGAGACAAGACAGATTGAGGATTCCAAGGTTAAATGAGTTTATTGAGTTAGTGGTTACAATGGTATGTCAGATACCTGTAATCCAAGCTACACCTACATATTTGCCTCTAAATTCTCACACTGTCAGTTTCCGTGTCTCTAAACATTCCACCACCAGGTCTTCTATTACTAATATAATAATAATAATAATCAGAATAATAATCATAATATAAAAGGCAATGTCAATCACCATATTGTGCTTCATACTCCACCATAAGGAATTCAATTGGCAAAAGTAAACCTCTGGTCATATTAATGGGATTAATTGAAATGTGAGCAGTCATAACACTACTAGAATATAAAGAACAAAATCTGGTTCAAAAGAAGCATTTTTAAGATGAATTAGTTTGAATCTGTTTTAAAAATTCACATACTATAATGAAGATGACTTAAAAGTTATATCATTTAATTATTGGGCCACACATTGAAGCATATTGGCTAGTACATTTTTGCACTGCAACAGAAGCAATACAAGCTTTATGGTCTACCATTACAATTCCTTTTTTTTTTTTTTTTATTTTTCACTTAATATACCTGCCAACCTAATGTTTCTTGCATGCATAAAAATTTCGGGGTTTAGACTTGAATTTGTAATTTATTCCACACGTATACCCCCGTGACGCAAATTCTTTGGCCAATTTAATGCTATAATTTAGTTTAAAAAGGAAGCTTGGAGTTAAGTCCACTTAACATCAGAAGGCAATGCCCTGAATTTTGGGCACTGCAGAGCGTTATTTACTGGAATAGAGTCTCAGGTCGCATGCAAATTGTCATTTTGTCCCCCCCACCCCATGCCAGACGCACACAAGTCGGCAGGTACGCATACAAAAAAGAATATAAAACCCTCCTGGTAAAGCTCAGTGGTTTAGAATGAATCCATAGCTTTAAATTCACTTAAGGCCTGTACAGGGGAAATATGTTTCTTCTGGGACCCTCTCCTCACTCTTGTCTGATATTCTTCTGGTTTTTCTCTCTTTACTAGAGGTTTCTTCTCGGGGGCCTTCATCTTCCAAGACACAACTGGAGAGTTCACTGCAGCAGTGCCATAGACCTTCTGGTATTTAGTAGAAGCCACATATGATGCTTTCACTGTAAGGACTACAGCGTTCATCAGGTTTTTAGCTGCCTGGATGAGAGAAGTGGCACTGTCCAGCTGCAAAAACAGAAAACAAAATGAAATATAGCAAGGTTACTTCAAAACAAAATACAGCAAGGTTATTCCACGGCTGGATCACTGGGACATTTCCTCACTGGAGCCTGGATCCTCCCAGATCTCATTAAAGATGGAACAAATCCTCTTCCTCAGGGTACCTTGGAGTGTCCAGCACTGGCAACACCATGCACTGAACAGTAAAGGTAAGACTGTGGTACCTCACATTAAAATTTTAATAAGCTAAAGGAAAACCTTGTCTTGTCTGGGTTTTCTTTTTTTGTCTGTTTGTGAGTTTTTTGGTTGTTGATTCTTTTTCTACAGTTTACGAAGTTTTCTGTTTTCTCACAAAGCCCCCTTTACTTCTTACTTAAACCTTTAAAAATTTACTGTTACACGTCAGTAAATTTACACCTGCAAAACAGGTCAACGGGGATTTTTCCCAAGTGTTCCAGTTTGTTCTAATTATTCCTGTTAGCCCAGGATAACACCCCCAGTGATGTCTACAGCAACAGTGTGAGGCCAGCACTGAGCTTGTTAAAGAATCCCATCTGAAAAGATGAAAGGAGCTTCTGAAACCCCTACAGAAATGAAAAGATGAGACAGTTAACTGCGGGTTTTGGCAGCTCCTGCAATGTGTGAGTTACTGCTGGTCTCAAGGAACGTTACTTTGTGGTTACCAGGCTTTTTGTGCCTTTGTGCTTCTCCCATGCACGAACCTGCCTGAGGTTCCTGGGTGTCCTCAGGATGTAAGAGCCCTCAAGGACTTGCTGAGCTTCAAAACACTGGGACTTCCATTCAGCAAGCTTCCATCACACACTGAAGAGAAGCACACACCCCTGGCCAAAATTTTCAAAAGGATTTCAACATATAATGGGGACTTCCAAGGCAATGCCTCAGTGTTCCACAACGTGAATCAGGTACTTGCCAGATCCAAGTGGATATTCTGAAAGTAATAAATACTAAAAATTTCCTCCTAAGGACTGTAGCAAGCCAGGTTACTACTTATGATGTTCAATTATCAATTTCCTAAAATACTCAAGAGTGGAATACATATTTTTTGTGATAAAGATATACCATGGATGCTGCTTCAATTACTCAAGCCTTTCCCAGACTGTAGGAATGATACGGGATATAGTATTACCTTTATTTACCTCTTTGATTCCACCCCACATGTTGTTCAGTAAATTTTTAGCTATTTTTAATTAGTACAAATGGCCTGTGTCACTCCAAACCCATTTTGGGAGCACATGGCTGTGTAATATAAATGCTAAGCAAGGTAAGCAGGACAAACAGTCACAGGGCAATAACAAAAGCCACACCAAACTTCACCTCAAGCATTCTGCATCATTAACAGAAGAGTTCAGGAGAAATCTCCTTCTGAAGGGTCAGTGACTGATGTGAACAAAAACAGACATTACAGAAAGCCTGTATTTGAAACCACATTAATCTTACTTACCTGGGGTGTTTTATTTCCTCTGCCATGGCCTTAAACTCATTATAGTTCATCAAATACATAAATAGCTACATACAGTGAGGTGAAAACCAAAAAAAAGCATTTTTATGACATTCACGCACGTGGTGCCATTCCCTGAAATGCACAGTTAATTGCCTGCCCCTAGTAAATATTTTTCCCTGGGACTAATTTGTATTTCTGTTAGTAAAAGAAACGAAGTTAAAAGATGGAAAATTACATTACATGGCAGAAACATGACTGTTCAATAGGGAGTAATGAAATATAATCCAGTCTAGTGTTATTCTATAACCACACTGCTGCATGATTTATAAGGCAATCTGTATGTTTGTTGGCAAATAACAGATCACACTCTATTAAATTAGGATATTCTAATTTACTACAGAGATCTACAATCAAGCATTATTCATTGTTAAATGATTCTTTTTGAAACACTGGTGGATTGATATTGAATATAAAGTGATACCATCAAATAGTGTTTACTTCATAATCAGTGTGGATAAACTGACTGGATTGAGCCTCTGTTGCACAGTCCTGAATGAATTCTGGTTGCTGAAGGTTTCCAACAGCTTCACATTTTCCACCACAAAAAGCTGTTTTACATATATTAAGAAACAGAATAATTAAAGAAAGCACTTTAAAATGAGGGGGAACCAAAATTAGATGTTTAAACCCATACACAGTTCAAGCTACACCTCTGAACACAGCAATTAGTAATTTTATGGACTGTAATCACGAGGGCATGCAGAATCTTCCATTCTTCACAATCAGATGCAGGCTGCAATGACACCTTTTAGGAAACCAGGTTTTGTATTTGAATACCATTTTAACTCTCTTCGGTTTCAATATGTTGTTAAAGTAAGAGTTCCCTGTTTTCATCATTAATAATCACATTTTAAGATGCAGATACTCAGTCTTTAATCCTAATATCCACTTATCCTGCAAAACACTTCCAAATCTTGGAATCAGAAAAGAGACATAAAACCCCACCAGAGGCTGTGAGTGTTCTCCAAAATCTGCTGGTGGTCATTCCATGCATCCAATTTGGCCACCTAAGCACTTCCCATGATTTTCTTACAGCCTCCAGCTCCTTGCTTGTGTTATGGCTCAGCAAAGAAGATTTAAACTGAATGAGCATCATCCCAATTAACATTTAGATCTTCCCACACCACTGTGCTGCTCCAGCTTGAAGCTGTGCTTTGCCACACAAAGCTGGAATGAGGCAGCAGTGAATCAAGCCCTCAGTGTGTTAATTCCTTACAAAATCTGGGCACAGAAACCTGTGCACTTTTCCAACTGTTATGTTAATTTAAAAAAAAAATCACAAGAAGGAAAATTACCATCTCAAATAAAAGCACCACTAGGAAAATTACTTCATAGTACAGAAGGCAACCTTTACTCCCTGCAATACACAAAGAATTATAGATATAATGACGGATTTTGGTCCTAACAGCCAACAGAGCCTTTGACATGCTGCACAAAGTAATGGTGTTCTGCTGCTAAGACTTCTTTAAAAATATGTTTGCCTGATTTTAGGGAAAAAAAATTCTCTCTACCATAAATTATAAACTTAGGTGACTGTCCCACAAAACTCAGTAAATGCTGAGGAAAATTCAAATTTCATAAAGAACCTAAGAATAACTGCACTGGATGTGGTCACTTAGAATTATTAAGATTGGAAAAGATCTGCCAAGAATATAATTCCATGGTTTTCTTCCCCCTAGAGAAGATCCTTCAGGTTTTGAGCTGCTTATCAGCTGTCCTGCAATTTTCCTCCCATATTTGCAGAATTTTCCAGAATCTTGAGATAATCAAGATTTCTCGCTTCTTTTACACATAATCTAAGTAAAATAACCAGCAATTGCACTAACAAAATAGCTGAAGAAATTGGAGGGAATAAAGCTGGAAATTTTTGTCCTTAACTGTAAAGCAATGAAAAGAGATGTTCTCCCTGCATTGTCACACTGCTGTAATGGGGAAGAATTATAATTTATGTTTTAGAAAGGAGAAAATCTAACTTCCAGAGATGTCTTCATATTGATAATAATAAATATCCATAAAAATTAGGAGAAATCGAGAAAAAAAACCAAACCAATCTGTATTTCCAATGAGTAAGTACAGATTACTTATTGGAATCTGTACTTCCAATAAGTAAGTAAGACTTACTGCAAAGAGTAAGTCTTTAAAACTACAGAATGGGTAGTTTTAAAAGTGCTGGTTGTTTAAGAATATTTTATGTTATTACTGCTGACTTTAATAAACCTTGAAAAGTGGGTGAAGACATCAAAAGAATTGTAGATAGTTTCCAGTCTCCAAAAATTTGAGCAATGAAAATAAAATGACCTGTGAAATTACAGGCCAGCTCAGCTGACAGCACTCCCAAATGAAATGATGCAATGTCTGTGGCAGACTCCAAAAATAGAGGAAAGAAATGCAGTCAGTGGTAAACAAAGGTCTGTGTGGGTTAAAATATTTTCAAAGTAACCTACATCATATTTTGGTATGATTAAACTTTGAGTTGCTTAAAATACTGCTGTGGGTATAATTGGATCTTTGAAAGGTCTTTTGCTTAGTAATACATGACAGTTTGATTAAAAACTCAGTTGACACAAAAGTAACAAGACACGTACACAGAAGGATTCCAGATTCTCCAGCAGCTGTTTCCAGAAGTAGATATTCACATACACACACAAAAAAAATTAAAATATCAGTGATCAGCAGTGAATTTCACAGTGGGGTCTTGGAGAAACCATTTGGATGCTTCACAATATTAATATTCCTACTAAAATCTTGGAAAGGAAGTCAATCATTTGATGAAATTTGTGGATAACAATTGGGAAAGTGTCAAGTCATTAGATTGATATCTAATTAGCTGCTAAAAGCCACAAATGTAGATTTAATTCTGGCCAGATCTACAGCAGATGATACCTAATTGCACAATAAGGAACTTTATTCTCTGCAGGATCCCAGGCAATCACTCCTTGAGTACACAAAAAGGAGGAGAATGATTAAATAGGTTCAATTATCACATTCAGTTTATTGTCTGTTCACAGTCATGGAATACTGAGTCCTCTTCTCAATTCAAGAGTAATATTGAGGAACTGGGTAAAAACTTGAAAAAACTCAGTAACAAAAAACCATCTTTAATGGGAAAGACTCAGCCAGCTCTGTTTTTTCCCACTTTCAAGTGAATGACTAAAAAAATGAGTTTTCACTGACTGAAATCAGCAAGTACATGGTAACAAAGCTGATTATATTTAAAGTTCCACATGTGAGACAAAGATAAAACAAAACTTAAAGGCTGAGAGGCGAAGCAGGTCATTTTAGTTATTAATTACCTGAAATTATTTATTTAGCAGTTATATTAATTAATCAAAAGAACTCATGAAAGATTGATTCTCTTTCTTGAAATTGTAAAATCAATATTGGATGGTTTTGCTTAATATGTCTTAACTAGTGGGCATTTTTAGTGCACATCAATTCAGGGAGCCTGGGCATCAGTTATGCAGGAAGGCTGATAACAGCCCCT